TGTCTCATCCGTTTGTTTGATTTGTGAAATATCAGATCAAACTTTCATTTAGTTTGAGTAATCTTTAGTGCACTTTGAAAATATGGATTATAAATGAAAAATGCAGCAATGGTTATATTTACCAAAGACTTAATGCTGTCAAAAATAGAAAACTGGTATCCTGTCTGTAGAAAATATTTGACATTTTGTAGTACAGCTACACAGAACAGATCCACATGAATGTGATGCAGTGTAGCTCCAGTGGCGCAATCGGTCAGCGCGCGGTACTTATAAGACAGTATTCTGTGGAGCCATGCCGAGGTTGTGAGTTCGAGCCTCACCTGGAGCAATGGGATGTTTTTAAGAAACTACTTTCTTGTATTGCAGCATTCTACAAAAAAATAAAATAAAATAGAATAAAACTTACTGAATGTCTGAAGGGATGCTTCAGTCCTGATGACATGGTCACAGATTTGTTCTGATTATCAGATTATGGAAAAAAAAAGAGTTCCACTGGTGTTAATAAAGTGAAACTTACATACAGTACTTCACAGATCAATAACAGTTATGATCAAATCACCAGAAGCATTTCTGACTGAAAACAAAGACCTTATTCCCATCAGACATTTTAGACCAAACTGACTACCCTCTGTTCAGTTAAAAAACAAAAACAAACGAACAAACAAAGAAAAAAACTAAAGACAATTTCCATTAATAATTGCTCCAGTGGTGCAGTCAGCCAGCACTTTCCTTATGAGTCAATATACTGCAGAGCCATGCTGAGTTTGTGAGTTCAATCCTCACGTGGAGCAGGACCGTTGGTTTATATTTGGGTAAATATGAAGGTTTTTATATCAAACCCAACTTGTTTTTCCTTTTGTGTGTAGTTTTTAGCATGTCTTTGACAAACAGGTCGTCACTAAAACGTTTAAAGATTTAAGTTTCCAGCGTTGAATCATTTAATTACAGTAGTGTTTTCATGTATATTCCCTAAGACGGTTTGAAATGTGCATGCAACTATTTATTTTTGCTCTAAAATGTAATAAACACTACATATTACTTTTCTAAACTGATAATTGATGAAGTGGCAGCTAAAGACCAGTTGCAGACTCTTGTTTGTATTTGAGGTATAATTAAATTACTGACAGACAGAAAGATAACAGACAGACAGACAGACACATGATTTTTGTATTTGAATACTTTATTTTCTTGATAGAAAAAGAAACATAACTTGATAACATTGACCAGGAAAAAAAGTTTTTATTTCAGTGAACTTTAGATTTCTCCTGTTGTAATATTAAACAAAGTTATACTGAGAATTATTTTTTTAAACTTTAGTTCACAATTAATACACTGTTCTGACACATGCAATGAGAACATGATTTAATATGTACTTTGAGTTTTTGATTCCTGGTCTCAAACAGCTCAGACGTCAGACAGTCTTCAGCACGTCTCTCTGATTTACACGGCGCTGCGTTTGACACTTCCCCATAATGAGGTCCTCTTTCCCTCCCTGGCTTGAACATCCTTCCATTGCAGCTTGATGTTGGGGACCTCGTCCTCAGGCTCCGGGTTGAGACGCACATTGCCTTTGGGACTCGCCACCACAATGGGCAGCAGGCCTCTGTGCGGCTGGAACTCCACGACGTGAAGCTGCTTCCTGTCAGCCAGCGCCTGAAACGTTTCCTGTAGGGAGATCAAAGAAGAAGCGGTGAGAAAGAAAATCAGAGACATTTCTTACTACTTATTGTATCAGATGGTAGAAGAAAAAAAAAGATCACATGTGAAAACACACACTGGAAAAATATGGAATCTACCAGTTGCTAGTGCAACAATGTACTGCATTTATCAGATAAAAACGCAAATATTCATGTGAGAAACCAGTTGAGACTGAACTTAAAGTTACTGCGATGTACGTAACTGTAGCTAATAACAGCGACAGGCCAGGAAAAAAAAACTCAACTCTGTTGAAGAAATTTTGTAACTGAACTTGAATATTAGATTCAGTTTTGTATTTTACACTTTCTGATCATTTCAGTCTGTAAGGTTGAAGCTGACAAAGAGTTGGTGTGTGTGTTTTCATGTGTTCTTTCTCTTAGCCTAAACAAAACGGAGTGACGTTCTGACGTAAAAGGTAACACCTCCAAGGGTGTAACCAGGAAGAGATGTACAGTATAAGCTGAATTCATTATTATAGTAGGAAGAAAGTTGTCAGGGTGTTAGAGCCTCTGCTTCTGAGCAGAGTTGCACTGCTGTGTTTGGGTTCTCCTGATATCAGCCCAAGGTCTGACTGAGGCCTGTGTGCTGAGTGCTGTGTGAACCTGATTAGAGTCAGAGGACTGAAATAAAGTTTTTAACAAGAAACCCAGCTGAATCCTGTTTATTCGGACATACCATTTTGAACAACGCATATTTTTCCAACTAAAATAGGTTCAGTTACATGTCCGAATTATATAACAACACATAATCAACCGTTATGAGAACAGTAGGTGAGAATTTTGTCTGAATGCCTGTGATTCAGCCGTAGGTCAGTTGGGGGCGAACGCAGGCATTGAAGACCCTGTATAAAATGATTAAATTCCTGGTTTGTGGCCAGTGTGGTTTCCTGTCAGCTCCGGTGACATTAAACCTCACTCACTTCCAGAATTCTGGTGTTGTATGGTTTTGATTCCTTCTACAAATCATTTTATTTAACAATGGTGATTTTAAAATTGGCTTCAGTCTATTGAATACATATTTATCTTACACTGTCATCAAGTTACTGTATTTTCCGAATTATAAATCACACTTTTTTCAGTTTGGCTGGTTTTATTCCAGAGCAACTTATCTATGCTTTTCTTTTCTTTCTATGACACATATTTTGGCTGATATGTTTAATTCATACTGACTGGCATGAACCAAGGAGTAACTGTAACTTGGTTTTTTGTGTATTGCTGCAAATGTTCTTAAGTTGACCAAGTGTGAAAACAAACGTTAAAGTCGTTGCAAACGATTCATGTACAGTTACCCTCATCTGTGTCATCTGTCTATGTTAATTAATCTAGTCAGCATCCCAGGAGTTATATTCTGGGTGTTGTTTTTCCAGAATAAATGTCTCTTCTGATGTGATTTATAGTCAGGTGTGATTTCTACTCTGAAAAGTAGTTTTTTTATATAAATAGAATTTACAGTCTAGTCCCTCCCAAAGACTCCCACCTGACGGCTTAATCCAGCGAAGAGGGCCCGAGTGAGGTTGAGGAGATTGGACGACCCCTCCAGTTTGCAGTACATGTCCTTTATGCCGATCAGCTTGCATATAGTGATGACCGCCCGATGGCAGCGCAGACCATAACCTGCAGAGACATTCAGACCGACACAAGTTCAGAACAGTGAACATTTACCAGAACACACGGACTAATTTCCCCACTTTCTGGTGCTAACCCATCAAAATCTGCAAAAACTCCTAAAGACATGAAAATACACGGATCTGGTGCCAAACTAACCTTCATGACCCAAACAAACTCACCCTCGTTTTGTTTCTGAACACGCAGCGTCGTCCTCTTGAACTTGGAGGTGAAGTCATGAAAAACTGTTGGCAAAAGAAAACGACAGCTGCGTGACAATGAAAGCCTGCAGAACAGAAAACAGATGAAACAAAACCGGCAAACCAATAAAACACCAAAATAAACCCCAAAAGTCTAAACTGCTTCATGGTTTTTTTGTTTGTTTCCAGTTTGAGGAATTTATGTTTTGTTACAGTATGTGTCCTTTTTCTTTCTTTTCAAACCAGTTTCCCCTCAGATCTCGTGTTTCTCTACCTGCCAGCCACGTGCGAGCGTCTCCTGCTTACTGCAGCAGCTGTGGCTGACTAGATATTCAGACAAACTCAGCCTCTCAGTGGGAGCTGCGCGCTGCCAGCTCTACGGCATCAGGTTAAAATCTTATCCTTGTGTGACAGCACTTGAAAATGTCTCACTTGCTGCTGTCCACGCAGCTTTTACACTTCCAGTGAGAATAAACAAACTTGATTTTGTACCAGAATGTTGAAAAATCACAAAAGAGAGTTTGTGATGAGTGACAAAAAGAAAAATAAGAGGAAAATAGTTTGAAAAAACAAAATTTGATGCATAAAAGATGCACCCTAGCTATTTTGATCTCAAATACACGCTCACTAAGATGACTCAATCGCCCGAGGGAACTGAACATTTGTTCTAACTGCAGGAGGTCCAACTTCATTTGACAAGATAAATAAAGTTGGAGCTGAAAGGAAAAAGGAAGCATCCATCCAGACAAGAATCTTTGGATATTTCAGTTATTGAAACACTGAAATAAAAATATAAAAGCTCAAAAGAGAAGTTTGAAAGTTGTGCCAAATGTTAATTTCAAGGTATGACCTCCTTCGTCATTATTTACATCAATTTAAGGCCAAAAGAGTCAAATGCATGCCTTGATTTTTTAAATTCATTTTTAAAAGTTGAAATGGTCTTGCCCTATCCTACTTTCCCGAGCTGCTTCACCTGTACTCTCCTGCTCGATACCTCAGGTGTACCGAAAAATAGATTCACATCAGAATTGTTATTGTCATTTACAAAGATTCAGAATCTTTTTAAAATGTCCTAAATCAATTAAAAATAAATAAACAAAGCAAATCCAATGGCTGTCAGCCTCCTCCTGGAACAGATGCATGCACAGAAAGCTCCAAAACAAAGAGGAAACTATAAAACTGGAGGAAAGAGAGATTCAACTGGCCTCATCTTCATTGAATGCAAACATTTGGTCTCATTTTGGTTTTTACTGAACGAGTCTGAGTTCGACATGAGCTTCATTGTGTGCAAGATTTGCAAAATGAAGATGAAGCACTGTGGGAACACAACAAATGACATTATCAGTTTTGAGTGAAAAATCAATTTCAAATTGAATCGTGGCCCCAGAAACCAGAATCGAATTGAATCGTGAGCTAGCAAAAGATTGCCACACCCAGTACCAAGGTCTAAATGGAAGCTCAGAGATTATGGAACAGTATCCCACATTCTATCAAACGAGCCCTTTCACTGTTCACTTTTAAAACTCTCCTAAAAACTCTTAATTCTTGGGCTTGACTGTTTTTTGAAGAAGTACATACCCAAAGTTGAGTAAAAAAAACTTTAAAAAGTGAATTTTGCATAATAAGTCCCCTTTAAAGTTAAATAAACTTGCAGTAAGAATGCTTATAAAACAATTCTTGAGCTAAACAATTTATTTTGTAGTTGCATATTGGATTCTAAAACTAAAAGTTTGATTAAACTGTTGCAAAATAAACTTCAGTGACAGAGCTATAAGTGAAAGAGGCATCTTGGATTTTGTTCCGATTGTGACACTGAAGCAAAGAGACAATAAAACAACTAATCACACATTCAGGTTGCAGATGGAGAAATAAAAACAGCTGAACCTGCAAAAATCAACTATAACACTCGAGCTCCAGCTGGGTGGAGATACACACACACGCGCACGCACGCACGCACGCACGCACGCACGCACTCACACACACACACACACACACACAC